CTTTTGAGTGTCAATTAGTTTGACTGGTACAGTCTGCATTTTGTATGTGTTTATTATAGCAGCTCTTGATTGCATGTGAACTAACAAACTTCCAAATTAAAGGTGTTGAGGTTAAAGGTTAAAAAAAACCAACAAACAACTGTGTTCTTTAGGGCTTGTCACATAAGCTGTTGTAATTAAAGAGCAATGTTTAAAATATTTTTCTCAAAGTACGCATTAGTGTACATATTACAGAATTGAAGGCTTTCAACAACTCTTAATGTTACTGCCTGATTTAACAGAAAAATTAGTAAAATTGGTGGCAGTCAAGAAAGGTAAGCTTTCAATGACAGCTTGTTCTGCAGTTTGTCTAGTGTTGTGTTTCTGTGGTAGGCCAGCAGGTTGTGCCATTTATGTGCCAAGGGAAGAGACAGTGGAGCTCCCTAAGTTTCTTTTGTTTCTTGTAACTTTTGGGTTTTTTCTTCTAGCTTCATGGAGGAAAAAGAGTGATGGAATGCCTAAAGAAGGCTCTGAAGATAGCAAATCAGTGCATGGACCCTTCTCTGCAAGTCCAACTCTTCATAGAAATTCTGAATAGATATATCTATTTTTATGAAAAGGAAAATGAGGCAGTAAGTAGAATTGTATTCTTTCTATTGCATCTTTCTTAAACAGCATTTCTTTAAGCTTTTCACTCACACTTACATGTTAAATCGTGTCTCTTCAACTTGCTCTGTAACCTCTCATGAGAAGCACAAGTTCTGGTAATGACAGAGTAGTCAATTCTTGATATGCTAGTAAAACTGTAGATAAAACTTCGTTCTTACGTGGGGGAAAAACTTCAAACCTTTGCAGTTTAGTTAAGAACTTAAATATTGTGATACTTGGATACCTGAAATATCTATTAGATCAAAACTGACTAGGACTTAGATGATAAAGTAGTAAGATTCTAACTTTAGAGGTACCTAACTTGTATGTACATATAAGGGAAAGAAAATTCTTACGGCTGTTCATGGTCACTGCTGAGTGTACCACAAATGGCTGGTGTAAGCTTTAATTTTAAGAAATAGATATGACATCTCATGTACCAGCTTAAATTTTGAAATCTGAGACAGTAGTTACCTCATACATTTTCTGTTAGGAAATAACTAGTAAATTTATCCAGTTTGTAAAAGCTGCTCAGTCAAGTAGAGATCCACATCCCATCTGATGTCATTTGATCACGAGCAGATGTTGATGAATACCCTGTAGTTCTTGAGAAACTGTCTAAAGAGATCTTAGGGATTTGCTGAATTTCCAGCAGCTGAACTGGCTTCCCACTATAGTAGTGCTGCACTAGTTTAGTAGATGCTGTATCTGATGGAGATGAAAACAAAACTTTGAATTTCAAGCACTTGGCAGATATAAGAATAGTCCCTGGATACAGTGGTGGTCTGCAGTGCACTTTGTGCTGTGGTGTTGTGTGTAGTGCTGGACTTGCAACCATAGGCATTCGAACTTTCCTCGGTCACCAAGAATAACTTCACTTGGTCACTGAGAGTAACTTCACATGAGATATTGCCATCCTGACTGACTTTAACAAGAAACAGTTTATGTTAGGGTGCATAGACAATCTGATTATGTGCTTTGTTTGTTTAAAGCTTTTTAAATTTGTATTGAACAAACTGGAGAGAAATGCTGTGGTAAAAGTTACAAAGCTATTGGGTTAATGACTTAAGTTCTTTTCATTTGCTGGGATGGGGGAAACTCCACAAAACTCTGAAATCAGAATGGTCCTATGAGGAACAAGAGAAGGCAGCCTCCAACAGTTTGTCTGCATACAGTCTTGCCAATATTTCTAAGAACTGTCCAAATACCAGTAGTTTAGAGACAAGTCTGTTAAAAGTAATGTCTATGCACTTATACAGAGGTCTTGTTGATGACTTCTATTCTGTTTATGTTCTCCTGTAGGTGACAATTCAGGTTTTGAATCAGCTTATACAGAAGATAAGAGAAGATCTCCCAAACCTTGAGTCTACTGAAGAAACAGAACAGATTAACAAACACTTTCACAACACACTGGAGCACTTGCGTCTGCGGAGGGAATCACCAGAATCTGAGGGGCCAATTTATGAAGGTCTTGTTCTTTAGGAAGATACACACTGTACTTCATTCTTTTCATTTACATACTGTATGTTTTTTTTAAAATAGATTCATAGGTTGTGCCTTTCAGAAATGTCAAGTTAAGTTAACATTCATGTGTTCAGTCTGGCACTTCAAACACCTGTGAGTACTCTAACAAATTTGAAAGGTTGGACCAGCAACTACAGGTTTCATCAGTTAGCATGGCTGAAACTTCTTTGAAATCCATGTGACATAGTAGGGCTCTTCCAGTTCTGATTTATCTTCTGTCTGTTTACTGTTGCTTCTGTAGCACTAGAGGTCTAAATTGGCAGTGACTGTCATCTGAAACTGTGTCTGATCCTTTACAGAGCATCAGATCTTTTGGGATTATTGTATGTCAGATTCTGCTTGTGCTTTTCTTTTAATGCAAGTTAAGACTAAGTGTAATATTTTTCCCTAAAAACTAGAATATATTAATGCATGTTTGGAGAGTTTTAAAGTACCATGTTCAAAAACAGAAGTTATATTTTGCATATTAAGGCTCTGTGACATTCAGTGAGGGCCAGTACTGTGCACAGGGCATATTTATCAAGATAATTTTGTTCCAAATAGTATAAAAATAGAGAAATTGCAATCTATATAGATATGTATAACCTTCATTACTGTAAATTTAGGGGAAAATGCATTACACAAGTTTATTCAGTATCATGATTTTGCACCAGTGAAACAATAAAGTTGCTATTAACACCTGTTGTTTCATGTCTCTTCAGAGCCCACTGAACCCAATGCTAATGTTGGACCTTTTGATAAAAACAAAGGAACTTCTGTTTTGTAGGGACAGAAGAACCAAGGCACAGCTAACCTGGACAAGCTGGGAGGCTGCTACTATTTCAAATATAGAATTTTATAATTCAAATCCAGTGTTTTTCCAAATGATGCTGAGATGATGTGTGTTGATATTTCAGAACACTTTTACGACTTATCTTGAGAGCGTGGTGGAGAATCCTGCTGGATTCTAGGTCTGTGGCAGAGACACGAGTGGCAATTAAATGACAAAGCTGTAGGAAATGGAGCAGTAGTACAACTGCCAATGGCAACTCTTGTGAAGACTTGTCTGTAGGTTAATGCCAGTTGCTGAGAACTGTGAAATGTCTGGTTTACCTTACCTGGATAATGTTCTAAAGCTATCTGATTGAACTTCCTTATTCCTTGAGTTGAGTCACTGTTGTGAAAACTGTCCTGGCTTGACTGGACAGCGAATGAGACCTTGGTGGGAGTGTCTAATAATGCTACCTGTTTTCTGTAAAAGGCAAATATGATCCTAGGAAACATAAGAATTATGGAGTAGACAGCAATTAGATGATTAATCTACTGATGTGTAAGGCTGGCTTGGAGGGGAGGAGGAATGGGGAGAGAATCTAATGGCTTTACTTGCCTAGTGATACAACTAATGCTGTTCAAAAATCTTAATGTTGCTCTGTATCTGTTGATGCTGTTCCTCTTAACAGAACTGTTAAGCTGATTGTTTTGTTATAAAACATCCATAGTGGAACATGATGATCACGTTCATGTACATACATTCATATAGTAGGGATATGTCCTAGTTTACAGTGTTTGCTAACCATGTTTGTTTAATCCTCAAGGTCAGTCCTTGTAACTTAAGAAATGTCTTTGAATAATGGTTTTGCAGTTTCAACTGCAGTTACCGAAATGCTGTAGGCTAGTGCTTTTTTCCATGTACCGCTTGTTAAGGCTACAAAGTTATGACTCTTGCACAGTTCTTAATTACTTTTATTGAAATTGACAAAGTAAATAACTTCAAAATACTGTCTGTAAACTTTAAGATAACTGTACTAACATGCATTTTGGCTGTGGCAATGGACAACTGTGGCTGTTTGATAGCTATCACTCTTGTCAGCAAAGGAAAGTGTCTGTTAAGCTACGTAGAACATGTTTATGACAGTGGAAACAAACTTTATCACTAGCAATGTTCAAATCCATACCTGTTATGGCACAAATATAGTCAAAACTCAGGAAGGATTTAGCTGTGCAAGCATCTCTTGTGGCAGAGGCAGAATGGCAGAAACAGTACGTAGGTGTTTACGCTCTTGTTTTTCATACCCATGGTCAACAGGAAGGCTGTAAATTTTAAGTCTTTGGGTCATGCTATTCATGGTGCATGAATATTCATGGCGCAAGTGTCTGAACACTTCAAATACGATCTCTTTTTTTTTTTTAAACCATTGATGACTTGATGGATAGATAGATCCAGTGGGTGGCACAGGGGAAAACATTATTTCCTTTCAGAACTAGCTAGGACTAGTAAAAGTCTACTTGGAAATATTTTTAAAAAATTACTCCAAGGGAAGTTTACCTAAAGCTCTTGTCCCATGCTTTTCCTGGACACTGGTATTTAGGTTTTTTCATTGCTCATGATCTTGTCTGGCTTGCCACTAAAGGAGGAAAAAAACATACTACACTTAACAGCTGAGACCCTTTGTGTCTTCTAGTGGAACTGGGGGTAAGATATAACAGATCCAAGGTTAACACTATGAAATGCCTTATCAGTCATGCTTACAGTTACTAAAAGTGAGAGAGCCTGAACTCTTATTGGCCATGAATGTTGTATTCTCTTTCAGCACTTTAATGTTAGTGCACTATTACCAGAAAATATACTGCTGGCATAATTTCTCAAAAAATTTTGAGAAATGACCTTTCTCTTCACTGCTGTGATTTCTTCAGCTACATGGATGACTGTTTCTATACATTCATAAATATCTACACTTGTACCTACTTATCAGTATTCCATAAACTACCCAGTGCACATGGCACTTAATAGTTGCAGGTGAATATTAGCCAGTTTACGCTCCCACTGAAAGCAAGATGTACTAATTGTTAGCCTTCACACTTTCTTTTTTTCACATAAATATATGAGGATGAATTTTGGCTTTTCCTGGACACAGGAGTTTTATAAAGGCTTTCCTAAAGCTCACGTGGCACAGTGGGTATAGAACAGGGTTAATGGCTGAATTCACCCACAGAAGCCAAAATGAAGTCTCATAGAGAGAATACTGCACACAGTGCCCATGGCAAGCTGCTCTGATGATCATCAAAAGCGTATATGGAGCCCAACACAAACCAAACACACAGACGATAATTGCTAAAGACTTTGCTACTCTCTTATCCCGGGAAAGTCTAAATCTATTTGCCATAGTGTTAGCAATGTCCACTCTGGTGGCGGTGTTGCATATGCTTTCTGTATTTTTGTAGAAACCATTCCTATGAGGTTTGGTCTTGACTTCCACCTGAAGTGGTGGGAGGTCTTGATTGACAGTCAGATTTAATGACTGATTGTCATTCAGGCTGAGCCTTGAAACCTTTGGGGGAGAAAGGCTGCTTGCTCTCTTTTTCTCGTGTTTGTGTCTGTTAGCAGGTTTTACAAAAAATATGGTGTGTTCCCTTTTTTTCCCCTGGAAACTCATTTCACAGTCCTCTTGACCAGGTGATAGGTTTTCATTTCTGAGGGATGTGCGTTTCCTGATGTTGAGGTAAATACTTACATTAAAGTATGTGACAGTGATGAAAGGTGTAAAGAATTCAATAGTAGAGGCAATCATTAGGAAATACCAGTTGTAGAAGAATTCTGCATGACATTCTCCTTCAGGGAGGATGCTCTTTTGGGCAATGTACTCCCAACTGAGAATGGCTGGACCATAGAGAAGAAAAGCAGCAATCCATACAGCGATCATCTTCAGTACTGCATTTCTGGTCATCCCTTTCTGAGCCCTGTAACTGACCTGTGAGAGAGAAAAGTTAAATCACATACGTTACTAGTATCTTAGTTACATGGGTACCTTGGAATATGGCCTTCTCTGTCACTTGTGAGGGTTGATAATATATTGTTTTGAGGATGAGGGTTATACCAAGCTTACTGGTCGCACAGAAAAGCTATTTCTCAAATCATTCCAACAAACATTATCAAGCTGACAGGATATGTTCTGAGAATGTATGTTGGAGCTTAAAAGCTAGAAGGATGGCCCTTCAAAATTCACTTATTTAGAGTTTTTAAATAATTTAATTTAAAATACATAAAAGAATCCGAATTCCTAGAACACCCATGCAATCTCTTTTCTTTCTGCTTTGTAGACAAATAGCCTTTTTTCTTAATGTGAAAATCACACCCCAAAAAAATTCAGTGGATAAAAGCTTTTATTTCTGTTTGATATCTTTACCTTCATTCTCTTATGAAGTACTTGCAGAACTCTTATCTGCAGTTCAGATGTATAGATGGAGTGTTGTGGTCTGTAAAGTGCTTTACAGGAGGAGTCACTAATTTCCTTTATTTAGAAAATAGAGAATCTAAGGTGCAAAAATGTCAGTAAACCATATCAGCAATAGAATTCAGTAGAATCTTAAAATCAGTATCTTCTATTTCTCAATGTTCTAATTCCCTAGTGTACTAGACAATATTCATGTAGTAAATTGGAATTCAGTCTTCACATCTCTACAGTGGCCACACAGTGGTTTGGAATGCGAAGTCCTCCAGCCTTGAATTCTGTATAGGATTCATGTTTACTGCCCCAATTTCTGGATCTAGATCTCCACAGCCAGTGCTGTTCTGGTGGAATACCTGCACAGCTGAGGAATCCTGAGCTTGCCTGAATCGGGTCTGATTTTGCAATCCTTGACAAAGCTACTAATGATTTTAGGAGCAGTCTTGCAGGAAGATTAACATTTTCATTGAGATAGAGACTAATTTAGAACATATGAACAGGAATATATGAAGTTCTTATATTGCCCTAACCCAACAGCCAGCTTCCATACTCTTGCTTGGGGAGGGATTTTTATATGGAGGATTAATTTGAAGTATTTTAAAGTGGCTGATTTTTTCACTTATGACCCTTTCTGTTTCTGAAACCATCCAGTCTATATATTTATATTATGTGTATAGTCACGAGTTTGGTTATGAAAGCAAAATACATGGTTAATTTGGAACCTAGAAAATAAAGGAATTGTAAGTGGTGACTGTTTAAGAATTAATCTGTTCATTTCTCCCTCTGGAAAAAGAAGTTGGTAAAACACTGTTGCATATAAACTGTTAATGTGATCTTGCAGCCTCTCTTTGTACTGTTTGCCAAAAAAAGTATCATTGCCTCTTTGTGTGATTTAGAATGAGCAATGAAGCTAAATGAATGTTTTAAGAAAATGTGGGTGGAACAATAACCAAGAAGTGTGTGTAGAAGAGTGAAACCTATTAGCAGGTAAAATGTGTTATTTCAGCACCATCCAAAATACTTTGAGGCAGGATGGTCTAAGTGAAAATGAAGCTAGCTTTTGATTTGGAAAGTCTAGTCTACTCCTTTCTCGATAACTGACATGCTGTATGGCTGAAGCAAGGGGAGGAAATAAGTACACCTTGTTCCCTCTGCCCTTCTAGCTGGAACAGTAGCATATACAAATTGTGCCTGTTTCTAAAACAGAGTACCTCTTCCACTGTCAAAGTGAGAAGCAACTGTCTTGTCTGCCAAAGCTAATCACCCCCAGAAGTAGTTCCAGGACTGAGGGGAACTGCCTCAATACCCCCTGTCTCCTGCAGTGTTTGTGCTTGTAAGGGCAGCCTTGGAGCCCCTGCAGAGCACCTTTAGGACCACTTGCCTAGCCCTTACCGCTTTGGTGACTGAGATGAACCTGTCGAAGCTGATAAGGACGATGTTGAAGACAGAGGCAGTACACACCAGGTAGTCCACCACCAGCTTGCACAAGCCCCTGCCAAGTCTCCACTCGCCCGTCAGCACGTAGGGGATGTAGAGGGGGATGCAGAAGCTGCCTGCGGACAGAGCTCGGCAGTGATATGTGCAGCGCTTCAGACCACAACCCTCCGCCCCTCCCGGCGCCCCAAAACTCACCCACCAGGAGGTCGGCGAGGGCTAGGTTGAGGAAGAAGAAGTTGCCCTGCGTACGGGCCCCTGCCAAGTCTCCACTCGCCCGTCAGCACGTAGGGGATGTAGAGGGGGATGCAGAAGCTGCCTGCGGACAGAGCTCGGCAGTGATATGTGCAGCGCTTCAGACCACAACCCTCCGCCCCTCCCGGCGCCCCAAAACTCACCCACCAGGAGGTCGGCGAGGGCTAGGTTGAGGAAGAAGAAGTTGCCCTGCGTACGGAGGCTCCGGTCCACCATGAATGCCAGAATGACCAAGGCATTGCCCAGCACCGTGGCCAGCACCAGCAGCCCCATGAGCGCCGCCAGCAGAGCG